TCCATACCATTTTCCATAATGGCTGCTCGTAGGTTCAACTTTATCTTTCTGCAAGTCCATATAATTTTCCCAGCACCATTTGCTGAAAAAGCTGTCTGTACAAAAGACAGTGTTTTGTGTGTGTGTGTGTGTGTGTGTTTCTGGAAAAAATAGCTAGTCTTTGCCATGCAGTATTTCTCCCTTATGTGAGTTCTCTGATGTTTGTTTAGGTGTGACTTCTGACAAAAGATGTTCTACATTCATTACAATGAGCCTTCCATATCCACAAGATCCACATTCGTGGATTCAACCAACTATAGATCAAAACTATTTGAAAAAAAAGAAAGTATGGCAATACAAAATATACCAAAAAAAAAAACTACTTATATTGTTTTTAATGTATTCAGTAATATAAGTAATCTAGACATGATGTTAAATTGTGCAGCAAAATGTTATGCAATAGCTCACCACTTCCTATAAGACTTGAACATCCACCGATTTTGGTATCTATGGAAAGTTTTGAAACCAATCCCGTGGATATGAATAGACAGCTGTACATTCATAGGTTTTCTCTTTTACATGAGTTCTCTGATGCATGCTGAAGTGTGCTCATGACTAGTAAGGTTTGATTTCTGGTAGAAATATTTTGTACATTCATTACATTCATATGGTTTCACAACTGTGTGAGTTCTTTGATGTACACTGAGGTCTGCTTTAATGTATAAAGTTTCCTGTATTCTTTACATTCATCTGGATTCTCACATGTGTAAATTCTGCAATGCTTGCTGAGGTTTGACTTCTGTTGAAAAGGTTTTCCACATTCATTACATACATAGGGCTTCTCATCTGTGTGAATCTCTGATGCATGCTTAATATTGACTTATGTTTGAAGGTTTTTTCACACTCATTGTATTCATGGGGCCTTTTCTATGTGTGACTTTTCTTATGTTTATTGAGATCCAAGTTATGGTAGAAAGATTTTATACATTCTTTATACTCATATGGTGTCTCACCTGTGTGAGTACTGTGATGTACATTGAAGTCTGATTTACTTCAGAAAATTTTTGAACATTCTTTTCATTCATATGGTTTCTTACCTGTGTGAATTCTCTGATGTCTGGTGAGGTTTGACTTCCTGTGAAAGGTTTTCCCACACTGATTACATTCATATGGTTTCTCACCTGTGTGAATTCTTTGATGCTTCCTGAGATTTGACTTCTCGTGAAAGGTTTTTCCACATTCACTACATTCATATGGTCTCTCACCTGTGTGAATTCTCTGATGCCTGATGAGGTTTGAGGACTTGTGAAAGGTTTTCCCACATTCATCACACACGTATAGCTTCTCCCCTGTATGTGTTCTCTTATGGATTGTAAGGGGTAATTTCTTCATGAACGATTTATCACATTCACTATATTTATAGGGTTTCTCTTCTGTGTGTATTTTCTGCTGTTCAGTGAGTTCATAATTTTCATAGAACTTTCTCCAACATATGTCAAACTGAGAAGATTTCTCTGATTCTGGAATTATCTCTTGGCCAAGAACAGCTGACTTATGAAAGACTTTCCCATAATCAAATTTACAGGACATCTCTCCCATATACACTTTCTTCTGTTCCAATAATATTGGCTCTGTGTTGAAGGATTTCCATTGTCCACTATATTCAAAAGCCTGCTGCTGAGCATGAATCTTGGAATGCTGATTAAGATGCTCACAATGTCTCCACAATTTCCCAGTTATATTACCTTCATCAGATTTCTCTCCAGCATGCATCCAATCAGCCTCTTCAGGAGGAAGTG